CAGGCGACCGTCTTAATGAGCGAGTCATTGATTCATTTGTTCGAACGATTCGTTCGAACGGCTGAGTCATTCATGAATGAGACAGATTATGGATTGGTCATTGAATCTTTGAGTCAACCGATTCGTTCAAAATGCTGAATCATTCAGTAATGAGAAAACACGTTGCTGTGAGATGCTCGATGGTTCTGCTGTGATCTTTGTTTAACTAGTTTCACTGCTGAAACAGAAAAAAGTCAATATTGCATATAAAATGTAAGTGATTTGACTTGTGTGTGTGTCTGTGTGTGTGTGTGTGTGTGTGTGTGTGTGTGTGTGTGTGTGTGTGTGTGTATGATTGTGTCTGTTACTTTTTGGATATATATCTTTTTATATAAAAAAAAAATAGGCATACAACCCATATATTTTAAATGTATTGTTTGCTTTAAATTACATTAAGATTTGTATGTTTGGTAATTGAACCTGAATGAATTTTAAATGAATGTGCTATATTTCAGAGTTTTCCTTAAAATTTGACCTAACACTAACTTTATTCTCATCTGAATGATAGATTATTTATTTCTGTATAAAATAAAAAAGAGATTTTGGTTGGGTGACAGTTGTAGTTTACAGTTTGACAAAAGCACAATGTTGTGTTTTATTGCGATTGTTCACAAATATAAGTAAACACTTATGAGATAGATGTTTATGGATTGATTGGTCATTGAATCTTTGAGTCAACCGATTCGTTCAAAATGCTGAATCATTCAGTAATGAGAACGCGTTGCTGTGAGATGCGCGATGGTTCTGCTGTGATCTTTGTTTAACTATTTTCGCTGCTGAAACAGAAAAAAAGTCAATATTGCATCTAAAATGTAAGTGATTTGACTTGTGTGTGTGTGTGTGATTGTGTGTGTGATTGTGTCTGTTACAGTGATAAGAGTTTAACCCTTGTTAAACTTTAGACCTTGTCTTTTTGGATATATATCTTTTTATATTAAAAAATAGTCATACAACCCATATATTTTAAATGTATTGTTTGCTTTAAATTACATTAAGATTGTATGTTTGGTAATCGAACCTAAATGAATTTTACATGAATGTGCTATATTTCAGATCATATATTTGTTTTCCTTAAAATTTGAACTAACACTAACTTTATTCTCATCTGAATGATAGATTATTTATTTCTGTATAAAATAAAAACACCTTTGATTTTTCTTTTTTAATCAATGTAGAATGTGTAACTGAAAAAATAAACAGATTAGGGCTCTGTTTGATGACAAGAAATGAAAACCAATGCGATATGATGAATGTCCAAAAGATGGCTCCCACAGACTGTTTTTAAATAGGATTGTTTGATATTTTTTGCTTTTAAACTGTGTGTGTGTGTGTGTGTGTGTGTGTGTGTGTGTGTGTGTGTGTGTGTGTGTGTGTGTGTAAGAGATTTTGGTTGGGTGACAGTTGTAGTTTACAGTTTGACAAGAGTTTATAGTTTGACAAAAGCACAATGTTGTGTTTTATTGCGAGTGTACACAAATATGAGTAAACACTTTGCAGTTTGAATAATGTCCTGTATGAACAAAAGGACGGAGTATGTCTTTATGTCTACATTGTTCAATTACGCCACACACACACACACACACACACACACACAAACACTATTTTTCTAATCAGATCAGGCAAGTAATATTCTGTCTTGTCTCTTAAAAAAACAATATATATATATTTATGTATATATATATATATATGTGTGTGTGTGTGTGTATATATATATATAAATATAGCTGCGAGCAGCGTGAAAGGGCCAAAGCCGGCGGCACCGCCACCCCGGTTATAGCGCCACCAACTGGCAGCAGGAAGTCTGTCACTTTCAAAAAGCTTTGAAATCACCTGATTGCTTCAAACTTCACTACTATGATGTAAACACACGGCAGATGTAGACCTGGATGTAGACCTGACCTTTCAGAAGGTTGCTCTCGCATACTTTGTGGTTGACATGTGCCCTCAATGCACACTTTTGCAGAGCCCACACTGATACAAGCTCTACAGCACACTTCTTTTCGACAGTCAAAGCAGGGTTACGTTTTTGCACGTCGTGCACAATAACCCTAAAGGCACCAGGGTGGCGGTGCCACCGGCTTATATATATATATATATATATATATATATATATATATATATATATATATGTAAATAAATATAGCTGCGAGCAGCGATGAAGGGCCAAAGCCGGTGGTACCGCCACCCCGGTGCCTTTAGGTAACTAAAGGCACCGGGGTTGCGGTGCCACCGGCTTGGGCCCGTAATCGCTGCTCGCAGCTATATTTCTTCTTCTTCTCTTAAAAGAATCGCTTTTTAGAGGGCCTAAACATGCTCAAAAACTCATGAAACTTTGCACACGCTTCAGAAGTGGTAAAAATTTACGTGTGATATGGTTTTCAAAATTGGGTGGGGCAAATTCGGTAAATTATTGCCCCCAGATTTTGCCCCGGCTCTACTTTTCACGTACAGGTATGAAATTTGGTACATACATGTAATGACCCAATACCTACAAAAAAGTCTCTTGGAGCATAGCCCTAAACACAACAGGAAGTGAGCTATTTTGAACTTCCTCCTAGATTTTGTGCATTTTTCGTAATTTCCTGATGTTGTACTTTAACGAACTCCTCCTAGAGATTAAATCAGATCCACATAATATTTTGTCAGTCTAATCTTAAGGCCTTTGCGACGTTAAATTGCGAAGATCTAGAGTTTTCGTCGAAGGATGTGACCTCGGCGGCCTGACAAAAATGTAGATGTGCAAATCCAATTTCAGCCTCTGGGTGAAATATGCATCATCAGATAACTTCTGTGTAAATGATGCAGTTCCGATGTTGCTAGGCAACCACAGACAGCCTGCAGTAACTCAGGCATACAATGTCCGATCTGCCCCAAACTTCACATGTGTGATAAGAGTCCTGTCCTGAACACATGACCATCCTCATATTAGATTATTGTAATAGCGCCACCTGCTGGTAGCAGGAAGTGTGATAAAAATAAATGACTTTGACATAGTCCTCCGGCTTAAACATGCTCGAAAACTAATGAAACTTTGCACACACTTCAGAAGTGGTGAAAATGTACATGTGATGTGGGTTTCAGAATTGGGTGGGGCAAATTACTTTAACATATTCCCCCTATATTTACATACTGCCCACCGTGCTCTGTCTTCCTAAAGCCACCGGGTGGCGGTGGCACGGGTGCGAGGGCCCTTTCATCGCTGCTTGCAGCTTTAATTACTTCTATTGTCTTTGAAATATGGTTAAAGGGGCATTCGGTAACTCTAGCCACTTATTCGCTGATTTTCACTTTTCTTGTCGCATGTTTTCTCAACGAGCTCCCCCTACAGCTGTGGTGTGAATATTTCACAACACTGTCGTAAATTCACTTGCGGCGTCCTCCTCCCCTTTCTACCGTAGACGCGCTCATGTGCTTTTGTTATTGTCGGATCCGGTGTGTTGAACAAATGAGTCCCAGACACTTCAACTTTATCGTGTGGAGCTATGTCTACCGAGATGGAGGTGTGTGTGTTTCTAATTGCCGTAAAGCAGTTCGTGTTACTCGCTCTTTCTCAGTCGTTCTCGCTTCTCACGAGACTTCCTATTTCCAACTTACCGGGACGGTAGTCCCTATGTTGCAAGGCTGGTTTTCCGCCTGGGAACGCTGGGGGGAGCGGGGAAAGTCACCATTCTCACCAGAACAGGTTATTTAAACATCCAAATGATTTCTAAATGGATTTATTAAGTTGAAAAAGTTGCCAAGTGCTGCTTTAAAGTGTACTGACATGCATTTATGGTAAACTAAAATATACTACTACAATGTTATTTCTATTGAAACTTGTCTGTCATGTATGTGAACATATCTGAAATGACACACTTATAATGATGGTTATAATTTAGTACAATTAAAATATATGAACGTAATATTGAATAATACACTGTGACTACAATTAAAATTGCACTTACATTTTATTATAGAATGTTGCAGTGCTTATAAATGATTTACCCTTACACACCATTATAAAATAAAAATAAAAATTCTGTTGAAAAAAAAGATGATATTTTAAAGAATGATGGTAATCAAACAGTTGACGGTAGCCATTGACTTCCATAGTAGGAAAAGAAAATACTATGGAAGTCAATGTCTACCGTCAATATTCTTTAAAATATCTTCTTTTGTGTTCAACAGAAAAAAGAAACCGGTTTGTAACAATATGAGGGTGAGTAAATGATGACAACATTTTCATTTTTGTGTGAACTACCGATTAAATCAAAAGCATTAAACTCCTCTCCCCCTCGAAACGACATCTGTTCTCTTCATGACGTATGTCTTCGCAGAGGGTGGGACTAAATATCCTCCACAACTGACTGCAAACTGGACAAAATCAAGTCCCGTCCAACATTTTTTTTTCTTTTCCAGAAGCCATTTCACTTGGATATACATCACAATAGGGAAGAAAAGACTATCGCAACTTTTGTTTTTTCAGAGTTTTCGTCCGTCTTTAAGATTTGAAGTACGAGTGCACATTAAAAACAATAAAGCGCACTTCTTTTTCACAAGCGTTTCCCCTGTCGAACTGAACCTTTTCTAGTACACTGAGTTCTCAGCTTGTCTTGTGAACATCACTGTCACTATTCTGTTTTCGTGACTCTCAATAAGAATTGTTCACTCATTATATCCGCTGGCATTTACACCAGCCTCTCTCTGCTCGGCCTCCTTGGAAACACTCATTTAAGACACTAGACATCTGTTAAAAAACCCATCTGAAAGAACAACAAAAAACCCCCAAATGCTTTCTCCCCGCCGGGTTAATGTCACAGGCTGAATAACCATGAGAGGACGTAAATGATTAAACTCTTTCAATGACAAGAAACAGACCATTTGGCTTTTTCCTTTGTGCCACTTAAGGTGAAAGGGACGGGTATAACTCGACTTCTTTTTAAGGTGAGACGCTTCTGAACACATCTGTGGTTGTGACTCACCATCTCTGGACCGCAGGAAGAGCCCTCGGCGGCTGGCATGAACTTGGTCTCACATTTTCTTCCGACCCGATGGCACCACAGGGCTTTGCAGATGTCCTGTGTGACACACATCAGACAGACGTGTTGATATGAATGCATTAAATAATGTCATTTTGACAGAAGTCTGAGCGATATTTATACTGAACAAATTAAGGATTATAACACATTACGCAATGGATAGATGTTCTTCACAAGCTGTATGAGTCCAAAATGCAGTTGTACAGAATAATGACACACTGTTTATGGTCTCTGGATGTAATCATGACCTGTCTGGTTTGTTTTAGCTTCAGCATCATATGCCAAACACTCTGTATGTTGGTGATTCTGCAACTAACTGCACTTTTTTAGGTTACACTTTATTTCGATAGCCCACTTTTGACTTTGCAACTTTGTAGTAACTTTGAAACTACATGTCGACTAACTATCATTAGAGTATTAGTAGACTGTTTGGTTAGGGTTAGTAGAATAAGTTGACTTGCAAAGTTTTTACTTCGCTTTAACTTTTAACATAATAATATTAAGTACATTTAAAAAAAAAAAAAATCAAATCTTGCAAATTTTACTTTTTATCTAACCATTAAAACTATGTTTGCAGTTATTACCAACACCCCAAACATTTAGAGAACAACCGAGTTTATACTTGGTTATTATCATAGAGATGAGAAGTGACAGGCGATCACATCTCTGCCAGATGTTGAACAGAACTCTTCAAACAGATTTTTTTATTTTATTTTGCACCATGATATGAGAGTATGTTTATTAAAACTGGGGAGTATTGGAAAATGATGATTCAGAAACAACTGTTTTTTTTACCAAATGAAAAATATATGTCCAAATATCTACAAACATTCACACCTTATATCCCAAACTTGAAGGATGATCAAGCTCATTAACAGACATTTATTCAAGCAAATGTCATAAATGTTTAAAAATAAATGCAGTATTGTATGAACAATATTTCAAGTAATCAAAAATGTCCCTCACTGAAGTATAGTTTATGAAATCATCAGACACCCTAAGGCCCTGTTTACACCTTGTGTTAAGATGCATTTTGGTCGATCGGATCACAAGTGAACGACAATTTACAGGTGTAAACGGGGGTCTAAAACGTTTTGAGTTTGTCCACTTTCGACCACTTCCAGAGGGAGTCAAAAACGCATCCGACCGGATTGCTTTGGTAGAGTAGAAGCTCATGTGGTCGAATGTGTTCGAACCGCCACAAAAGACCGTCTACTCTCCGCCTACTGACCTAATGCGTAAACATTATGAGAAGAGCTCTAGCCAGACAGGATTTAAACTTTGTCATTAAGATCCAAGTTTGGTTTGAAGATGAAAACTTACCAAGCACAGTGTTCTCGCACCATTCTGATTTCTAACACACACTCACAGCGTTCGGCGAGAAACTAAAGCTGCTGCTCTCCGTATGTTTTTCCATCGTCTCCGGGCGCGTTCATATGTAAATTGCTCAAGCTAATTTTGTCCATTAGATCGGAAGATCTAAAAAACATACAGTATACATTTACCCGCCCAAAGAACCTCCCCTCGAAAAAAATCAGGACAGAAGTGGTTGAAAGTGGACAAAAGAGACCCATTAAAACACCAGGTGTAAACAGGTATGGGTCTCCCTCGTCTACTTGTGATCCGATTGACCAAAACACATCTTAATACCAGGTGTAAACAGTGCCTAAATGTTTTTTTTACTGTCCCAGATATCTACGTCTTCCTCTCATTCGCTTTCTCTCTATGAAACAAGAGCAAGAAGAGCACGAAACGGCTGCACGTTTTATATGTCCGTATATTATTCACATCTGGATTATTGTATCATATTTTGACAATGGGAGCACAGATGGGAGGAATAGAAGGCAGTTTGCCAGAGTGATCACAGAAATCCCAGCACAAGTTCTGCAGCTGTGTGTTAAAGCGAGACCTCCTCAAATCCGTCCCCTGTTGTTCCTGCTGAGCTTGAACATCTCAGTCCTATCACAGCTCTGACTGCCAGAGAATACGAAGATGCTAATTCATGGTGAAAGAAGTGAGAGCTCAGGATGACAGAACAACTTAGCTTGAAGAGGATCCACAGAACAATTTCTATCCCGTTCAGTGACATGAAATGAGCAGGCCCATCTTTGTGCTCTGTTTTTATAGTCCAATGTAAATTCATGTTCCATTTTCATTTGAAACTTCAGATTCTGGGATGTTGGTACACTTTACTATCCAACAATATACTTTTTTGTTGTTGTTGGTATGACTATATTTACATTGTGTTTATTAACACAAAATAAAAAACCTTGTATGAGTTTCTTTCTTCTGTTGAAAAAAAAAATATATATATTTTGAAAAATGTAACCAGACAGTTGACGGTAGTCATTGACTTCCATAGTAGGTAAAAAAATAACTATGTTAGGTGAGATCAGGACAATAGGAGCCCAGCAAACAGAGCTTCCCACTGGCGTCCCTCCAAAGTATATTTAGCTCTGCCTTTGCTTCACGAGACCTTGCAGGCCTGGACCGAAGTCTGCCGGAGCAGATTTCTCTACGGGGAGGTCCAATTTTAGATGTATAGACTAGACTACAGTGGAAAAATTATTTGAGCAAATCTCTATTGAGTTCAGACGACCTGAATTCCTGGCGTTACAACCGATTTACAGATTTCAGCAATAGAGAAATAGAGAAAGTGCTCTCCTCTCAGATTTGAGTATGCAGTGATGTTTTGAATAATCGAACCGTCTGAGCTATCCGGGCATCAGAATCCCTGGTCTAAAGAATGTAGGTCAAATGTTCACAGAAAGCACATAAGTCTGCTTTAACCCCTTTCACACATCCAGACTTTACTGGTAAATTACCAGGAAATTACTGTTAAGATATTATGTGTGAACAAGACCTTTTCAAAAATATAGGTAAATCAGTTTTGGCAATTTCCTAGGAGAAGTTGTTACCAGTAAATTACTGGTATGATGCTGTGAGTGAACAAAGAACAGGATTACCAGTACGAGTATGTACTGTAGAAGGTCAGAACATGCTGATGGAAGAAGTCTGCTTTGGGATAATCATAAAGCTCTGTTGGAACTGTTTCTGCTGTAAACATGCGTTAGACAGACATCTAAACGTTGTGCTGCATCTCGTGTTCGCCTTCTTTTCCATTTATCAGCGTTGCGGGTCTGCAGTGGTTGTGTACTATAGTGACTGTAATACTTTAGTAACTATTATGCGTCTAAAGACCAAAAACACATTCTGTGAGATCATCCTCTTATGCCTGTCTCATCGAAGTAAATGTAGTCAAATTGGACAGATTGTGAAAGTAAAGCGCTTCTTCTTATCCGGATGAACAAAGCGGCTCAGTATTTTTTAGGTCATTTCTGATGACTTGCATCACAGAGTTTATGGTACTGGTACGGTATTTTGGTACTGATCTGAGAATGGTATATTACTGGTAAAAAGTGTATTTACCGCAAAAGTCGTAATTTTACAGTAATTTACCGGGATTGCTGTGTGAAAGGGGCTATTTTCTTTTGTTAGGTTTAGGGAAAACTTTACACCAGTACCTTTTCCAGTCCGATCCATTTTAAAGGTGCAGAATGTAGTATTGACAGCTAGCGGTTGAAATGGGTACTGCAATCCCAATTCAAAATATTGAAGAGTCACACGGGTTGCCAGATTGAGGACTCACAACAGAAGTGAGCGCAATTGACATAGGTAGGAGACGAGCCTCACACTGTAAGCTGATGAGTTGATTTATCTGCGTTTTATATGCTCCTGTTCATAGAGATTTTTAGATGGATGCTGAAGCTTTTTATGTCGGGTAGAATCTTTGATCTCTGACCCAGTTCATTTGCTGGCTTCCATGGCTGAAATACTCTGTGTTTTCTGCAAAACTGGCAACCCGGGGTGTCGAAATACTGTTGGGTAAATTGGCAATGTGCGGTATCGCACAGACCAAAATAAAAACATTCATTCCAACACAGAATGCACATTTTAAAGTAAAATAACTGTCTGTAACATTGTTTTTCAGAGAAAATGTGTGAACTTAGAATGTTTATTAAATATCTGCAAACATTATGGTATTTTTATGCTTTAGAACAGTCAAAAAATGACAGCACCTTTAATCTTGCTAATTTGTTTGGTGTATGTTAGTGAGTGTGCCTTACAAAGTTGGTATGTTGTTATGTGTTGTAAATGTGTTATTAAAAAAAGAAGAAGAAAAAGATGCATTCCATTTTAAGCATCACATGTGTGTACAAACATCTGATATTCTTATTTATTCACATACAGTCAGGGTTTGAAATTAACTTTTTTCACTCATCAGCAAATTTGTCTGCTAAATTTTGAAGTTATCGGCAATTCAAAACTTCTACTAGCCAAAACAAAATGATCAGAAATATACCAGAGTATCAATGTCACAGCTTAGATTTAAATCTGATTCTGAATCATTGAATTGCTTTCAGTTGTACGACACTGTTTAAGGGTACCATTCAAATAAAATAAAATAAAATAGAAATAAAAACAAAATTCTCTGCGATTCTCTTCTGTCTTGATTTTACCTGCACGTAGCAATAAAGACGCTAGGTAGCTTTTTCCCCAAAAGTCTTGTACATGTGGCATTTATTAGAACAGGTTGGAAAAAGTGGGCCTCTTAATTGTCTCCTAGGGCTCCAGCGGAGCACACCAGACGTGCCTCGGACATCTCGATAGACGCCGAGTGGTGCCGCCGCTATGCGTATGGTATGGTACCATATATATACAAGTATGGTAGAAAACAAGGTGTTCAAATTTTAAAGACGTGATGCTGTGCGGTGTTTTTCTCAGTGCGCAACCCTCTTTACTCTTTGTTTTGCTAAAGTTTGAGGCTCTTTTTAAGGGAAGGGCTTTGATAATCATGCCATAACCCGCCAAATTGACTAACGTGTTGATATGCGTTACCCGCCACTGTGGATTTTCACCCCTATTTGGCAGGTTGGCAGGTGTTCATTTCAAACCCTGCATAAAATGACTATAAAAAGTCTATAAAAATGGCAGGTTTGCGATATGAATCCAAGCCAAATCATGTCAGATCTTTTTCCGAATTTAATGTGATGTTGAAACCAACAAAATTAATGTAACAAACAAATATATATTTTTGTAGACTTTTTAGACATTGAACATTCTAAATCATGAACAGTGGAGCTTGCTGAACAGCCATGTGTGTGTGTGTTGTCAGAGCCATATCCTGAAAAAACATGATTATATAGAAAATGTGGCACATGTGTGCAGTGGTGCAGCGTGACAGATCTCTCCAGGCATCAGTGAAGTGACCGCGAGCGCTAGTTTCTGTCTCAGGTGAGGCATTCCTCTCAATCCCACTGTCACGCTTGAGCCCTGCTCTCCTAGTGAACCTGGATCAGCTTCCTCTTTCCAAATGATGACCATAAACTCCATGATAAGAACCACACAAATGGATTCTTATCAGTTTGAAATAACTTTAACCGTAACGCAGCTCAGGCTGGATCAAATATATCAGTCTCATGTTCCCGGTGAAAAGACATTTGAAGCTGCATATGTACCCTAGTGAAAAATAAATATACTAAAATTGTTGTTTTAAGCTCAAACTCACTTAATTTTGGACTTGTTACAGATTTCAGAAAACAAGACTTAACCCTATAGTGAAAAATAAACACCAAAATTGAAATACATTTATTTTATGATAAGTATACTACAAACACGTGTAATAATAAATTAGTAATAATTAATAAATTACAATTTATATTAGTAAGTCTAAAGCGATATGAATGTAAATATGTATAGTATACTTAGTATAAAATAAATGTATTTTAAATACATTTTTCCATAGGTATTTTTTCACTAGGGCTACCAAATAAAAATTTGGGGTCAGTAAGATTTTTTTTCTTTTTAAATAAATTAATATTTTTATTCAGCAAGGATGTATTAAATTGATCAAAAGTGGCACAAAAGGGATTTATAATGTTGAAAAATATTTATATTTCAACATTATAAATAATAATAAATACCATTCTTTCAAATGTTCTATTCATCAAAGAATCGTGAAAAATCTCGGTTCCCAAAAAAATGTTAATCAGCACAACTATTTTCAAAATTGATCACAATCAGAAATGTTTCTTTAGCAGCAAACCAGCATACTAGAGAGATTTCTGAAGGATCATGTGACACTGAAGACTGGAGTAATGATGCTGAAAATTCAGCTTTGATCACAGGAATAAATTACATTTTAGAATATTCACATTGAACAGTTATTTGAAATTGTAATAATATTTTATATTAATATTACTATTATTTTGGATCAAATAACTTCATTTTTGGTAAGCATAAGGGGCTTCTATCAAAACCTTCAAAAAATCTTAAAGTAAAATGCATATGCCAGGCAATTTCATACATATTTTATCATTCACGTGTAGTAGTTTCGTAGCGTAAATATTCACATCATTAACAGGCTAAATGAGCGGTGCTTCCTGTCAAGATTAAATAGCTTATCTTACAGTATTTACACAATGGTATTTACACATAATTTAGCAAGAATGTGTCATGTGGTGCCATTCATGTGCACTCTACTTATGAATATGCAACGCATTCTCATCCTTTGGTGTCATATAGGTGACGCCATATGACATTTCGTCGAAATCTTACGCACATGGCATCCTTTAGCGTCAATATAACACGCACTGTTATGGGTAGGTTTAGGTCTGGGGTAAGGTACGGTTATGACGCCTTGGGATCTGCATCTCATATTCACGCTAAACGATGCCATGTGCGTCGGATTTAGACGAGCGTCACCTGTATGACGCCTTGGGTTCTGCGTCTCATATTGATGCTAAAGGATGCCATGTGCGTAAGATTTCGACGAAATGTACAAGGCGTCACATGTATGACGCCAAAGGATGAGACCGGGCTGGAATATGATATTTCTGACATGACCAGAACAGTTTTTTTCAGAAGTGATTTCATCGATAAAACAATATGAAATATTGATATTAATGGCCTTGCCTTCTTGAAGTCCAGAGTGCACAGTTTAGCTTTCTCTCCAAACTGCCACTTGCACTGCGTGTCGGCGTCGTACAGCTCTCCAGGAAGTTTCTCGGGGTATTTGTACTCCTGTATGGCGTTGGGCTCATCAGACAGACAGGTGGCCTGGGCGGTACTGAGACAGAAACACAACTGTAAAACAGCTTGACTCCAGTACAGTAGAGATGGACACCATGACAACACAACAACAGTAGTTCCCCTGGCTACATTTAGAGATTTCTCTTTTCAACACATTCTCTGAGTTTATCATGACGTATGTTATTCAATGCTGCCGTTATTATTATACAGGCCGACAGAGAGGCTCCGCGTGTAAACGATATCAAGGATCATGAGAAAGTATTTTTACATTGTTTAATACCGTGTGTTTTACACAATCAGACATACAGTGAAAGCCTGAATGAGCTCTGAGTAGTTTAGCAGACGCTCCGGGCCGCTCGCCCGCACAATGACGAGAGTGTGTCAGTATGTGAGTGTGTGTGGGATGTATGTTTGTAATGGGGGTCACATCAACTAGTCTATTAGTTCTAAATATATAACAAGCACATCCAGTAAAAACACACTAATAGAGGTGATCAACCAAATAATGAAAGAACCTTGAAGTCAAATCAAAATAAATCAAGTCAAGTCAAGTCAAGTCAAGTCACCTTTATTTATATAGCGCTTTTTACAATACTGATTGCTTTAAGGCACCACAACACTGCTGCTCCCATACAATACTTGAGTTTAGGGATGCATGATTTGGGGGCAGTTTTTACTTTTCTGAATGACTAGTTGACTAGTTAAGAAGAGTAGTCAACTGAACGGTTTGTCTCTGTACATACAGATGCAGTTGTTGCAGAACACTGCACTATAAAGTTGAAGTCTACTACATCCAGCTATCCCAGAATCCCTCTGTGTTTCAGTGGACCCTGTGAAGGGAAACCCTGTCCTTTTCTGCTCCTGCTTCCAATTATCTGGAGAAGGATCAATGCAGCAGCATCTGGTCCACAGAGGCAGGAATGTCAGAGTCAGATGAATCTGATTCAGTTCCTCATCACCACTCAGTTTTCCCAGTGTCACCTCTTTAAGTTTCCCCTCAGATTAAGGCGACCGGCAGCTATAAGACAGACCTGCTCAAGCCAGACCCGACCAGACTCCCTTTCAAGCTCTGTTTTATTAGTGAGGGGAGTGATAAAAGCGGAGGGATGTGACGAGGAACGAGAGAGGGTCTGAAAGCAGATCAGTCTTTAGCTACTTGAAGGTCTTATGATCTGCAGGCCGTATGTCGATAGGCACATGGTGACGTAGGTGAGCCTGTTCATGAGGAATGAGAAACAGATGGGAGGACAGCTGACGGAGAGAGCATTGCCGTATTTATCGGCAGCACACTGGGGTGTCGTGGGTGTGGAAAGAGAAATGAGGGAGGATCATTCTGCAGTTTGTCGCCTTCAGATGCCCAGACAGTCATGGAAAAGCTGTAGCTCACAGGCAGACTCTGGTGACACTAATGCCACTGTCACACTACAGGTTTTGGTACATATGAATTTGATTAACTATGCAGTCTGATTGGATTGATTGGTTGGTTCCTTACGCCAATTTGCAACACTTACAGCTTCAGGATGTGGAACTAAATGAGATGGAGAAACTCAAACCACAAACTTTGGGGAGTCAGCAATAAAGCATCATGATCCCATTCATTTTTAATGGAGAACTGAACTGACTAACTGACACGACGTAAAGGCCAAGTATGGTAACCCATACTCAGAATATGTCCTTGTCCTTGTCCTTTAACCCAACCAAATTAGTGCACCCACATTAGGAGCAGTGAGTAGTGAACACACACACACTGCAAAGCGTGGACACCCACACCTGGAGCAACCCCATTTTTGCTGCGGTGGCCGTGGAGCAATTGGGGAAAGGGCACCTCAGGTTTGATTCTCAATACTGGCAGGAAATGACTGTGATCTTTGGGTTATTAGGTTATTGGGTTATTGACACTCTATCCATTAGGCCACCATTCTGGTGACATGAGAGACAATGGCCATTTTTGAGCAGATGTAGGCATGTCCAATTTGAGAAAGTTGAGAAAAGTTTTAATATTATGCAAATAAAGGGCAACTAACAATGCGAGTGAAATCAGTGGAGCTCATATGATCAGTGAGTATCAGTCAGCGCATGTTATTAGGGAAATAGATTGCTGCAGTGATGTTGTATTTTTGTAGGCCAACCCGGAAGTTAGCGTCACTTTGGTTTCCTTGACAAAAACCCAATAGGATTTTTTTCCCCATTGACACAGACTATTAAGTCTATGATTCTTAAGGATGTAGTCTTTGAGGTTTGCTCAGGCACAACTTTCTGGCCCAGATGCTCACAATGCGAGTCAACAACACAGCTGTCTTTCATCGTCGCCAGTTATTTGATTTTGTTTTGGAATTTGAAAATATCTAGAGCTTCTTTTAACCACAGATCTTTTTTAGGCATTTAAACAAAAGCGCATAAAAAAACAAACAAAAAAAACTTTGACTTCAGGATAATGGACCTGTAAGTGCTAAAACTCGTTTACGGGGTTTGGCCTATGACAATGTGTCATCCCTGCAGCAGTCTGTGGCAGAGTGCTTATTTTTTTGCCTTTGCAATCTAATGGAGTTCTCTCCGAAAGTTCAGCTAAAAATGGACCTTGTCCAACTGCAGCTCCTGCACAAGCGGCCTTTACTGAGTTTGCGAGTTCCATGAACTCAGAACATGCAATGACATCCGAGAATGCTCTACTGAACTTAAGCACTTTACATTTACATTTATGCATTTGTCAGACGCTTTGCATTCAAGGTATACATTTTATCAGTTCATACATTCCCTAGGAATCAAACCCACGGTTTTGACATTGCTAGCACCATGATCTATGGTTTGAGCTACAGAAAGCATACTTTACGGAACTTTTTATTTATTTATTTTTTTACATTTACTAAATCTCAAGACTGACAGGAATCCAATTGCAACTGTCAACCACAATGCTATCAGGAAACAGGTAAAGCAACTCAGAGCATCTAACAAACGCCTGGCAAGGAAACCCCTACTCTCTCCTGCTGAGGCCTAGAACTACTGATTACAGCTCGCTGCCAAGGAGCTTCACCCAGATGAGCTCATCACGATAACGGAGCACGAGGCCGGTTCATTTGACACGTTGGTTAATTTAAGGGCAAAAGGTCAAGCTGATCCACTTTCACGAGCACAGACGTGGCTCTCAGACAGAAAGTGAAATTTAAAACCTGCTGGAGCTGCTTGTTTTTACATATCACAACCAAAACAGCACTACAAATACTACTTTTAAAAGATGAGGTTGGTGTCTAGACTCTCACTGGGCTCACGCTGGGTGATTCTGCATGGATGACTAATGGACAGGAGATGCTTAGTAAAGGGCATGTTGTTAATCTTTGCACTGTTTTTTTAATGCCACTTTGGGTGCCAATTTTAATGCCAATGGGTAAAGAATTTGATTTAGGCATAGTCTCTCCATGTGACTGAACGTTTATTACAGTTTCCACAACACTGTAATTGTATTAATGCATTGAAAAAAAAAAAAAAGTTCATGATACTGCCTTTTCGAAACTGTTATTTGGGAAACAGATCCTAGATGTCAAAACAAGTCTTTACTCACCTTAGAAATCGGTTTAGATATTGTCGACTACAGGATGACCAGGAGAATAAACCATTATGTCCAGCCAAGGTGGGAGACATAATGTTTCCAACCGACTTCTTACACACATTGCCTTCGCCATCGTGGACCATTCCAAAGCTGTGGAAAACAAGGCTTTCATTGATCCAATACAGGCAACTGGATATGAGGGAATCTAATAGAGGTTAATTATAAAGTTGACTCTTACTTGTGGCCAGATTCATGGGCAATTGTGAAGGCCAGACCAAGACCCGTGTCTTCATTGATCGTGCAGCTGCGGTACTTACTGCACATTCCACTGATTGGAGCAAAACCTGAAATTGAAACAATGAATGGAAGAATGAATGGATGGATGGATGGAAGAATGAATGGAAGAATGGAAGAATGGAAGAATGGAAGAATGGATGGATGGATGGATGGATGGATGAATAATTGAATGAATGATGATGGCTATATAAGTCAGGCCAAAAACTTGTATAAGGGGCCTGCAAAAATAAATATATACCTGATCATCTCATATCGTCTAACTGTGTTTTTTCAAAAGTTCGGGGTCGGTAAGATTGTTTAATGTTTCTTAAGTCTCTTATGCTCACCAAGGCTGCATTTATGTGACAAAAATACAGTAAAACAGTAATATTGTGAAATATTATTACAATTTAAAAGATATGGTTTCTATGGGAATATATTTTAAAATGTAATTTATTCCTGTGATGGCAAAACTGAATTTTCAGCATACTTACTCCAGTTTTCTTTTTTTTTTTTTTTTTTTTTTTTTTTTTTTTTTTTTTTTTGCCCGCCACCACCCCCCCTCTTTGGAGGACAACTTTATTTTTAATAAAACAGAAAAAAAACATATATGCACAATATATTACAATACAGACAATAAATGTGTATACAGTAACTATTCAAGTAACTATTACTATTGCTATTACTATCACAGTAACTGTGAATAGCATAACTATTCACCCCGTTCAGTGTGAGCCTGGGTACATAAGTGAAGGGGGGGTTATAGCACCATGTTCAAGGTGTAACACGTAACATAGGACAAGTGACAGACAAACAACAACAGAGAACACATCTTGAGCAAATTATTCTTATTCTTATTCTGAATAAGAAGGTGTTTGAGGGAAAGGGGGTTTGAAAACATGTTATGCATGAGTGTAGATGCATATATGTATGTATGAAGTGATAGCTGCAGTAACAGAAGGGGTGAGGTATGTGTCTGGTTATATACACGGCTTATAGTTATGTTTGTGCGATATTGAGAGATGTCAAGATGTCAAAAATGTAAGAAAAGGGGACCATATATCTTCATAGGCTGATATTTGCTTTATTCTGTACGCATTGTATTTCTCAATTGAAATATATTCTGATATTAAATTTATCCAGTGATTGATGTGGCAAGATTTCTTTGATTTCCAGTTTTGGAGAACTACTTTCTTGGCGACAGCTAAAGAGATGAGCAACGGATTCCTATATTTTTGTGAGATATGGATTTCGGAAAGGTCGCCTATGAGACAAAGTATTGGGGATAATGGGATTCTGTGGCTCATAATGGTGGTGAGCGTCTCAGTAACTGTAATCCAAAAAGAATAGACTGGTTTGCAATGCCACATGGCATGCAAATAGTCATCTGTACTACCTAAAGTACATTGTGAACAGATATGAGTGTTGTGTAGGCCCATTTTGAACATTTTACTTTGGGTAATATGAGTTCTGTGAATGACTTTATATTGTATAAGTTGCAGGTTTGTGTTATTGGTCATAAGAAAAGTGTTCCTACAAATTTGTTCCCAGTACTCAGGGTTGGGAGAGATGGCCAGGTCGGTTTCCCATTTGGTTGTTGGGAGTGTTATTGTTGTGTTTTGGTTCGAAATCATTGTATATAGTTGGGAGGTTAATTTTTTTAAGTTATTAATTTTCAAAAGTTCTTCTATGAGCTGAGAAGGTTGTAATGTATTGTTTGTAAGTGTGGTTTTATTTTTAATTAGGAGTCTAAGTTGTTGATATTTAAGAAATTGTTCCCTCCCAACCCCATATTTCTGTATGAGTGTGTTAAATGACATAAAATAGTGGTTCTCAAATAAGTGGTGAAGCTGTGTGATTCCTTTTTGTGCCCATGTGGGGAAATAAAGAGGTTTATTCTGTATCAGAAATTCTGGGTTGTGCCAGAGTGGGGTTAGCTTATTTAATTCTTGTGATGATTTTGTGATTAGATTTGTTTTCCACCAGGCTGTCAGAGTCGAATAGATGGTTATGGGTTGGCAGATGTTGGATTTCTTGATTGATTGTGAGAGAAAGGGGAGATCTGCAACTGGGATATCTGTGCATTGACTCTGTTCCAGTTCCAGCCACGGGTGTTTATGCTTATCTAAATTGATCCATTTAACTAGGTATTGTAATTGATTTGCCAAGAAGTAGTAATGGAAGTTTGGTGCCTCAAGCCCCCCATGTGATTTTTTATTTTGTAATGTTGAGAGTGATATTCTGGGTTTTTTATTTTTCCAATAAAATTGTGTTGTTAATGAATTAAGAGTTTTGAACCATTTATCTGTAGGAGTGATGGGAATCATTGAAAAAAGATAGTTAATTTGGGGTAGGGTTTTCATTTTGACAGCCGCTATTCTTTCGATGAGTGTGAGTGGGTGTTTAGACCAGCGTTTGTATTCGTCTTCAATTTTCTTTAGGAGTGGAGTGTAATTGAGGGTGAAAAGCTCTGACAGCCTGGGGGAAATCTGAATCCCTAGGTACTTGATGTTGCCTGTGTGAAGGTGGAATGATGTGTCCTGAGCACCAGAATCCCATATATCATCTGAAAGTGGTAGTAAAATCGATTTATTCCAGTTAATAGTGTAATGTGAAACTAGGGAAAATCTGCTGATAATATTGAACGTTTCTTGAAGTGATACTCGTGGGTGCTGTAAATAAAGTAAGAGATCATCTGCGTATAAACTGATTTTGTGTTGTACATTGTCTACCTGTATTCCTTTGATTTTGATGTTTTGTCGTATAGCTGCTGCGAGCGGTTCGATGAAAATGGCAAACAGGGAAGGCGAAAGTGGGCATCCCTGTCTGGTGCCCTGATGCAATGTGAAACTCTGCGATGTAATTCCATTAGTGGTGATGGTGGCCCTGGGTGATGTGTACAGTATTTTAATCCAGTGAATGAACGACTCTCCAAAACCAAACTTGTGAAGTGTATTAAATAAAAAAGACCAGTTTACCTTATCAAATGCTTTCTCTGCATCAAGTGAAATGATAATGGTTTTCTGTTGTTTTTCTTGTGATATATTGAATAAGTTAAATAATCTGCGGACATTATCTGTAGCATGTCTATTTTTTATGAAGCCTGTCTGATCTGGATGGATGAGTGTGGAGGTGACTGTTTCTATTCTGGTTGCTAGTGCTTTGGTAATAATTTTCAAGTCAGTATTCAATAGTGAAAGAGGTCGGTAGCTAGAAGGGTAGGTTGGATCTTTTTGGGGTTTTAGCAGTAATGTAATGGCTGCTGTATTCATGTGTGTTGGTATGGTAGATAACGTTTTAATTTCTATAATTACTCTGTTGAATAATGGTGATAATATGTCCCAGAAGTGTCGGTAGAATTCAGCTGGAAATCCATCTGGCCCGGGAGATTTATTGCTAGGGATTTTATTGAGTGCTGTAGTAAGTTCATTAAGGCTAAGGGGTGCATCTAAACTATTGATTTCTTCTACAGTTAATTTTGGCAATGTTATACTGTTCAAGAAGGTGTCAATTTCTGATTGAGTAGGTTGGTGAGTGGGGGAATAGAGGTTTTTGTAAAAATTCCGAAATGTGTTATTTATATCCTGTGGGTTATGATTGATGGTTCCTGTAACATCTAAAATGGCTGGGATGATTGATTTCTCTTTCATATGTTGAAGTAAATTTGCTAAATACTTACTGTTTGTTTTATTACTATATTGAAAACCATTATATTTCAATTGTTGAATTTGAAATTGTGTTTTTTTCTGTATAATGGCATCAATTTGTGTTTTGAGTTCCTTTAATTCCTTCTGTTTTGGTTCACTGGGATGGCAAGATATTTCATGTGTTAGTAATTTAATTTTTTGTTCTAACATATTTTCCAATTGTTGTTGCTGTTTTTTCATATATGAAGAGTATGATATAATTTTTCCTCTAATTACGGCCTTCCCAGTTTCCCTTCCCAGGAGCAAAACCTGAAATTGAAACAATGAATGGAAGAATGAATGGATGGATGGATGGAAGAATGAATGGAAGAATGGAAGAATGGAAGAATGGAAGAATGGATGGATGGATGGATGGATGGATGAATAATTGAATGAATGATGATGGCTATATAAGTCAGGCCAAAAACTTGTATAAGGGGCCTGCAAAAATAAATATATACCTGATCATCTCATATCGTCTAACTGTGTTTTTTCAAAAGTTCGGGGTCGGTAAGATTGTTTAATGTTTCTTAAGTCTCTTATGCTCACCAAGGCTGCATTTATGTGACAAAAATACAGTAAAACAGTAATATTGTGAAATATTATTACAATTTAAAAGATATGGTTTCTATGGGAATATATTTTAAAATGTAATTTATTCCTGTGATGGCAAAACTGAATTTTCAGCATACTTACTCCAGTTTTCTTTTTTTTTTTTTTTTTTTTTTTTTTTTTTTTTTTTTTTTTTGCCCGCCACCACCCCCCCTCTTTGGAGGACAACTTTATTTTTAATAAAACAGAAAAAAAACATATATGCACAATATATTACAATACAGACAATAAATGTGTATACAGTAACTATTCAAGTAACTATTACTATTGCTATTACTATCACAGTAACTGTGAATAGCATAACTATTCACCCCGTTCAGTGTGAGCCTGGGTACATAAGTGAAGGGGGGGTTATAGCACCATGTTCAAGGTGTAACACGTAACATAGGACAAGTGACAGACAAACAACAACAGAGAACACATCTTGAGCAAATTATTCTTATTCTTATTCTGAATAAGAAGGTGTTTGAGGGAAAGGGGGTTTGAAAACATGTTATGCATGAGTGTAGATGCATATATGTATGTATGAAGTGATAGCTGCAGTAACAGAAGGGGTGAGGTATGTGTCTGGTTATATACACGGCTTATAGTTATGTTTGTGCGATATTGAGAGATGTCAAGATGTCAAAAATGTAAGAAAAGGGGACCATATATCTTCATAGGCTGATATTTGCTTTATTCTGTACGCATTGTATTTCTCAATTGAAATATATTCTGATATTAAATTTATCCAGTGATTGATGTGGCAAGATTTCTTTGATTTCCAGTTT